AAAGGAAATCATTATTTGAAAAATGATTGATTCTAAAATAATATGATACAGTACAGTACAAGTACCGTAATTTTTCGGACTATAAGGCGCACCTGAATATAAGCCGCAGCAGCTAAATTGAATGATGTGTACATATATAAGCCGCACTGGACTATAAGCCGCAGGTGTTTTAATGTTTAATTACCATATGTAAGGGTTCGTGCACAGAGGGGATTGTCGGGAAAGAGATGGCTGTTTGAGGAAGCTCCCATTTATTAACATTTCAACAAACAAGTTGCATATTTGCATAACGTATTCAAGTGTTAGCATTTAGTGCAATAGTAGCTACAGAACATGTACTGTGCTGTGTAAACTGTACTGTATCACATAGCGTTTCAGACACACAAACTTTTCAACTTTCAAACTCCCAGCGCACGTACCGGCAGTGATCTACAGCAGTGGTTTTCAACCAGTGGTACGGGGACAAACTGTCTCGCTCTCGTAATGTCTGTCTGTCTTGCTCTCGTTCTGTCTCTCGTACCACTCTCTGTTCCACTGGAACTAGAGTTAAAGGTGGTGGACTGTAACCTGTAAAATCCATAGATTTAGGAGGTCCCCTAGTGGCCGTTAGCTGTAAAAATCCATAGATTAGCCGCACTGTTATATAAGCCGCAGGGTCGAAAAATGGGAAAAAAGGCGCGGCTTATAGTCCGAAAAAATTACGGTACTTGCATTATAATCTGTTTTATTGTGTTGCACTGTATTAATGGCGTGGATGTTCTCACGTCCCCAGCCAACCTGAAGGAGCTGATCTCTCAGACCATAACCAGCTGGGCTCAGGAGTCTCACATCCAGGACCCAGAGCTGGTCCGAGTGATGTTCAGCCTGCTCAGGAGGCAGTACGACGGCATCGGGGAGCTGCTCCGGACCATGAGGAAGTCCTACACCATCAGTGCCGCCTCCGTGCAGGATGCTATCAACCTGTTGGTGTCTCTGGGTCAAATCAGGTCTCTGCTGTCAGTACGCATGGGCAAAGAAGAGGAGAAACTCATGATTGATGGACTTGGGTAAGAAAAAATATTTTAAATAATGCAGTGGCTTCTCTCCCTCCCAAGTTTTTTAAACGAGTTGTGAAACATATTGTTATTCAATAGTTGTCATCACAAAATTGAGCACAATGTTGCTTACTTTTGGAAAACTGTTTTCAATAAGCTATGATATAGATTGCCTCGGGGTGTTTGACTGTTGACCTTCACAAATGACTTTCTTGTCTGTCATAGTGACATCATGAACAACAAAGTATTCTACCAACATCCCAACCTGATGAGAGTGCTGGGCATGCACGAGACCGTCATGGAGGTCATGGTCAACGTGCTGGGAGGAGACAAGTTGCAGGTACGAATCATGACCCCACAAGGATTTTGTGAATGAACTGTAATCACTTCAAAACAGTGCTATCAACCAGTCGAAGTGATTCAAATGTTTTTTCGACAAACCATCTCAACTCAAGGTCAGCTGACACGCTGTTACGAACTGTTGATGTTAAAACGTAATGATACAGAGCACCTCTATGACTTCCAACCATTCTGATTGAAAAGTTCAAGCTTAAGCTTAAGAAAGCTGACACTTGCTAGGTGAATGTACTCATTTTTTTTACGAGTTGTTGACATGCAAATGTACATTAGGTGACATGATACACATTCCTGCCTCTGGTTTCACACTCATTCTACTGACCCACAGACGTCAGTAATCTTTTTAGAAAAGCAGCAACGTGGCAACAAGTACACATATCCATATCTACTTGTTTACAAAAAAGTTAAAAAAAATGCATTCAACACAATAGTTGGACAAGTATTCAGACTGTATTTTGGTAAGTAACTCTTAATATAAGGGGGGTCCATTAACCTGAATTTGGGACAAAGGAAGCAAGTTTCAATTAATGAACCATAACAGCTGCCCCCTTAAAAAGTTCTTACTCCCATGTTAGTAAAGTCTGGGGAGTTTAAAGAAGTACATAAATCTATTAATATGGATTTTAGTTTTTGGTTTGAATCCACAGTTGTTTACCTACCATTATTTGAGTGAGAAGCCCTGACAGAGGGAAGTAAGCCAAGATTAACAACCTAATAGTCAGATAAAACCACAGGGGTAATGGAGAGGGCAGAGCAGGGCAGGGCAGGGTGACAGGAGGCCTCTCAAGCCTGTCCTTTTTGGGCAGTGCTGACAGAAGCTGAAAGAGATGGTTGTGATTTAATGCAGCGTCCAGTGCCAAGCATGAATTAAAGCTCAGACAGAAGGAGCTCAGGGAGACATTCAGGCCGTCACATGTGACTCCGGCAGTCTCACCACGCCGTCACTGACATAAATTCCTGACCAGTTTACTGCCACATGATACATGCACTTCACTTACTGTGGCCATATAAAGTGGCATTACCACGGCTTGTAAGCGCATAGTGTTTGCAATATTTACCCTTATAATTACACCTCAATGTATACATTATGATACACATCTTACAATAAGTGTAAATTCTATTTTTCAACACAGACCTTAAATAAAATGTTCCCAATCATGTGCCACACAGGGAGCATTTTCACAGGGCTGAACATTAAAGAGGAGGAAATTGCTTTGACTTTTAGGATTGGAAAACATTTGGCATGTTTGAAAGTTCAACATTTATGGAAACTGCTCTGACGATGAGTGAGATTTCCTGTGCTGTTCATATTTGCAGAGTGTAATTTGCCAACGATAACGTGTGGATTCCCTCCCTCTGGTTGTCATCTATTCCTTTTTGCAATTTCCTTTAATCTCCAGCGTAGACAGAAATGTCTTCACTGTGAGATTTGTGAGAACCTTAGGCTGAACCCACACTAGAATGAGGATGCTAGGAATGGAAAAGTATTAGATGGAAAAGAGTTTAGAGGTAAAACAGATTTTCCAGTCGTTGTTCTGAACAGAGAATACATTTTATTTACTGACTGCACCTTAAGTTTTTATCAGGGTTAAGCATAAGACTCTGCATCCTCCAGACGTATCAGAAAAGATTAAATATGTCTGAGCTCCTGCAACAGGGAAGGTTAGATAAAATCTTTGAAAGTGTTTTCTTGCATCTCTTATCAATGTCATACATAAGAGTTTTAGATTTGTATTAAATATAGTTAGTCTGAAACTCCAAAAAGCATCCTGCTGTATATGTCAAACAGAAATGGAAGACACAATCTTGCCTGGAGATATCGGAAGTTTATTTGGGACGATATATTGGAAAGCCATGCTGAGTTTACTGAAGTGTTCTGCTGTCAAACAACACAACATGTCGTCACTACAAAGAGAAAGAGTATCAAAGGGGGTAAACAGGAACAGGATAAAAGCTGGAGGCAGGGGTGGAAAAATATATTTTGTTTTTTTCACTCTTATAGTTTTTCCTATTAGCAAGATATCGCAAGAAGAAAATAAAGATTTTTGGAACAAAAGTTGTTTTTATATTAAACCTGGGCTGATTCCCAAACAAACTCAAATCTCAGGATGGATTCATTTTTAAAATACTTTTGAAAGTGCCCTCACATAGAGAGGAATATACAGTACAGTATCTGAAACCTCCAACAAAGGACGAATGGACTGCAACTCTCAGCAGAAAAGTCTAGGAGACATTGAACTTTACAGTAGGTTAAGACCATGATATGAATAGTATTCGAAATTCTGAAAAAAAAGAATAGGTATGCAGTTTGACAAATTAAATGGGTTTCAATTCTAGTGTTGCCCGTGTCAACTTCTTTTTGTCTAGAAATGTCCATTTTTGTCCACAGGAGATCGCTTTTCCCAAGATGGTGGCCAGCTGTTGTCGCTTCTTGTGCTACTTCTGTCGTATTAGCCGGCAGAACCAGAAAGCCATGTTTGACCACCTGGGCTACCTGCTGGAGAACAGCAGCGTGGGGCTGGGTAAGTGCTGGAGTTTTCAAATGAGACACCTCCGTTATCTTTTGACAGTTGCCGTACAGCATTTTCCTCAAATTACACTTCATGTATATCATTCTGAGGGACAAGACAGGTTTGCAAAATATATGGAAACATGTCAATATGAAGGATGATTGGGAGGCACTGAAGAAAATATGCTTTTCAGAAAGGAAATATAAAATGAAAGAAAGACATTTTGAGAGAAGGTCAATTAATTTGGAGGAGGCTGTGGCTCAGTGGATAGTGCTTTGGATAAAAGCTTCTAACAAATGACATGTAATGAATTCCTTGACATTTACATATTTTTTTACCTCGGTGTTGAAACGGAAAAGTTGCCCTTTT